CAATATGTAAGGAGGGATAAGAACAATTTTATGATGTTTCTGACTACTACTTTTTCTCCTGCTTGTGCATCTGCCAGCCCCTCCTGGTATGAACCACACACTGGGACTGAAGGTTGAGGACTGAATGAGTAGCTCATTTTAACTTCTCTTTCTCCTCCTACTCCACAAGGAGATCTGGACAGGTTGAAGTACATATGACTTCATATTCATATTTTTCCCTTATTTCTGACATTATCTTATTTCAAATGCCAGATATTTTAATTTTATTTGCATTAAATACTCCCCTATTCCGTAATGGCTTCACTGGTACCACAGGAGGAGTAAAGAGTTATCAATCACTCAAACAGGCCTTGTGGCTAGGAAGTTCTTGGGAAAACCAGGAATGCCAGAAATCAATGGCTGAACCCACTTGAGCCAACTGGTAAAACTGAAGTAACACCCTACATAATGAGAGTGTAAAACAATCAGAACTTAAATGGAGAACAGATTTTCAAATGAGATGTGTATGCTTTATTTCCTATCTTTGCAGTGTAAAAATATTACACCCGGAAATGATATTATAAAGTTCTTTGTAGTACGAAGACAGGTACATGCATATATTATAAATTATTATATATGTAGTATATAATACATATATTCAAACTTTCAGAAAACAAAATTCAGATATAGGAGGTAAACTCACTTAAAAAAAAAATTACCATACTTAATTCCATTCAAGATAAAATTACTATGTTCTTTTTCCAGCTGTGCTTATTGTTATTTAAAAGGAAAAACTACATAATAGAAATCAATAGTACTTTCTATTGTTTTTTTCAAGTTTTGAGATACACAGGGAACTAATATGCAAAAAGAAGGATGTGAAAATATTTTTAATATATGCAAAATGGAGTTGTATTAACAAATACTCTGTTATATCTGTTAATGTCAGATATAAAAAAGTTTGAAATACATAATCTGTTTTCATACTGGACAGCTGAAAAACTAGCTATTGTCTGGTCCTACCGTAACTAAGGCTGTCGCTGTCATTCACTGAAAGAGCTTTCTTATTAACACAGTTCTCAAAATTGAAGAGCAACAAGACTTGTTTACATTTTTTGATCCTTTACACAATTTGTTATGGTACAGTTCAAAAACCAGGCCATTTGGTTTCTTATCCTTAGCTCATGCAGTCATGTTAGATTATCTTCAGGTTTTTCTTTGGCTTTTTTACCTTCACTATGATTGGACATTTTACACAAACTGTACTCTTTGTTCATTTCTATTTGGCAGTGTATTGAAATACACTTGGCGTTGTTAACAAACATCCAACAATTAATGATAATCTGACATACCATCTTGAAAGTTATATTGAATTTTCTCTTATAGACACTAATTTTGTATTTGAAGTGAAGCATTTTGTTTCCTCAGGAGCGTGCTTCTCTATCACTTATTTATCGTAATTTGAGAAAGTGGTATGACCGTAATTCTTCCATTCTTCCAATTCTTAGATTTCTAAAAATACATACACAGTGCAAACAAACATAAATCATGTACCATCAACTAACTATTATAAAGCCATTTACATGGAAATGGCGTTGATTCTATTTTCTGCCCAGTAGTTAGTAAAGAAACTCAGGTGGAACAGAGAAATTACTGAATTCATACTTGAAATAATCCACCATATTTAGTACCATATGAACTTTGGTGCCTGGGGAACAGCAGGGATGTGTTATTTAGCCTCTTCACCAGAAGAGCAGCATTCCCCTCTCATCTTCCTTCACATCCCCAAGCCATTTTATACAAGCCTCCTCATCCCATCCCGGGTGGGAGTCCGTGACTCCCATTCATTTTCCGCACTCCTGCTATCAGAAATGTGTTGTGGGAGATAACAAATGAGCGACACTGGAAAGACTTACATCTGTGCAACTGATTGTACACAGCTCGTCCAGAAACTGCTGCACACCAATGGTTGTCCTCCTCACAGCTCTGCCTCTGTCACAGGAAGGCGACACCGGGAAGAGCCCCGTGTAGATCCAGGCCTTCCAGTGCTTCTAAATGGTTCCCCCTGGTCTGCAGAGCCATGAATCATCCCTCACCATCATGTGTGTGTTTCATTGACTGTTTAATTGTGGCTGAATAATGACTTAGGTCTTACAGTACTCAGAGCAACTAGAAACAACTTTTTTTTTTTTTTTTTTTTTTTTTTTTTTTTAATGAGGATGAGAAGAATGAAAGTGAGAATTTTTTCATGCATGTGTTAATTCATTGACAAGTGGTAGAGGATGCACTGTCATCCATCCCCCCAGATAGAGATGGGAGCTTGACCTAGAACTCTCTGATTACAGAAAATAGTTGCTTTGAGCCCTCAGAGTTTCAAGAGGAGAGCTATTTGAGTGACTCAAATTTGTATCAGCAATGCACTATTTTCAACCCTTAACAATTAAGTTTTTCTTGGCACTTCCATCTAGCCACCATGCTGAGCAACATGTCACTGAAGCCTCAAGGCATTTGGAGGGGAATGATGGAGTAGATACTCAAAAATTTCATTATTACATCTCTCACCATGTTTTTACCATCCCCAACACAATTAAGGGCAGGTTATTTTGAAGAACTTCCTGCAACTTTTATTTAGCTTAAGGATATAGTTATTTAGCATTTCAAATAGCCATGAAGCACAGAAAATGGCTGCTAGCAGCTAAATATTGGAAAGCAGACTTTCAAGTAGGTTTCCTCTATTTAGAAAACTTACAGAAATGTTGTTACTTTCTTCCCCCAAAAAAGGTAATGAACATTTATAGGTCTTTGAAAGCATGTCAAGCATGTCATGTCACAAAATCCTTGTTAACAGCCTCCCTGGAAAGACACCTGCTGAATTCAGTGATTTCTGCATTAGAAACTTTGCAAACAGTCCTGAGATTCCCCACACTCTTAAGCAGGTGGCAGTGTAGGTTAAAGAGACACAGATTTTCTTGCAGCTGATAGAAACTGTCGCTTTCCAATTTCTCCATTTATCTTAACCCAAGGTAAAAATATATAGCAGTGCTATCTAGATGGGAAGAGGCACAAATTTTGAAAAGTAGGACTTTGTTGACTCAAAACTGTTCCATTATTTCCAGATGCAGCTTTGTGAGCTTTATTTCTCAGAATGAGACATTGCAGTAAGACATAACACAGCCTCTCTTCTTTAACATCTTAGTAGGAGGACCTATCTTCTGAAGATATTAGAGGACATTACAGTGCAGCGATTCAGCATCAACCCTCAATGCATACTATTAAACAACAATAGTTTTAATATAAACAAACTCTGTGGCCTTTCTTCTGCTGGACCTGCAGTTATGCTACTGACAAAGACTTGGCATGCAAGGCAATAAGGGATTTAACTTCCAGTTGCATGTTCGGACTGCTTTTTCTAGTTATTTCAATCTTTTGCGCATAAGATATTGTATTATGTAGCATTTGCACCTATGAATAGCTAGTAAGGTAGATTTTTTTTCCAGATATGTCCTACAGTATTAAATTAAAATAAACAATCATTTAACAAATGGTAAGTGGCTTGGACCTCTTGCTAATGCAGGAACAGAACAATTCCTTTTCAGAAACAATTTTTGAAGCTGACTGTAAACACGGTAAGAGTATCTGCCATGAAGTGGTAGGTTTTTTACTCGGCAATATGATAAATATATGTGCATGTAAATACTTTTGTGGAAGTGAAACAGTGTTCATATGGACTGGTTCCATGGCAGGAGAATACAGCTAGACCTAAAACTGAAGAAAGAACAGCATTTTGGGGGCGCAAGATGGGTAAAAAGACAACTTCATTGCAGAAATTGGTTTCCAGATTTTATTCTGATTACACAAAATTTAGGATTTTCTAATGGTAACCAATTGAACTGGTGGGGACATCCAGGTTCTTCTCAGGGTGTTTCAGAGTTCACAGAACCAGCAAGTAACCAGGGTTGGGAGAGAAGGAAAACCATGGTGGTAGCAGAAAAAGCATTTTATATTCTCTGAACATTGCAAGATGAGATTCCCTGGCTGCCCATTTAAAACCACATTACCGAAATGCTTCAAGGATTGCCGCATGTTGAGCAGTTTCCATCAATCACTGCATGTGCTTCAGAGGGGCAAGTTATTCTTTTCCTCCTCTTGAATTATGTGGCTCCTCAGTGACATCTTGAGATTAACATGAGGACCTGTAACTGAGCAAGTGAAGTTGTGGGAAGCACTGGGGGAAAGGCACAGGACTGGGACTTTGGAGAATGGCAAAGGTGGGCCTCATCCCTGCTCCGTCACTGGCTGTCTGCCCAGGTTTGGGTAATTACATCCCCTGCTTCAACTCTGCATGTATAAAAAGAGAAGTATCTCCTTCCAACGTGTTGGGGTCTGGAGATGGAAACATCTCCTGTAAACTGCCTGTCATTATCTTCTCTACACTATAGAGAAAAGAAATAAAACCAACTGGAAATGGAACCTACGCAATCTTCCCCCTTTGGTTTCTCCACAAACTCCCCACAGATGGCTCTTTATTCCTCCTCCTTGCACCCACTCGGGCCTTTATGGAGTCCCTCCCAAGAAAGCAGCCAGCTCCTCTGGCTGGGGCCGACATTCTCCACACTCATCCCTCAGCCACGGGGTGCAGGGGACGGGGTGCGGGGGCTCCTTCCTCCCTCTCCCCAGCACGGTGTGGGAGGGCTGCCCCCCTGCCTCACCACAGACACCCGGGGAAGGCGGCACCTGTCCCTGAGGGCCGTGACATGGCGTCCTGACAGGGACATCGCACTCAGACACCCCCTCACATTGTTCCCACGCAGCAACTCCCTCACTCACAAACACACCACGCAGATACACCCCCCCACCGCGTCCCAACACACTGAGACACCCCCTCACACACACCCCCCCACCCCCGAAGCACCCCCAAGCAAACACACACGCACATTCCCACTCACGGAAAC